GATACCCTTTAACAGTGATAATTGCCTCCACTGCAGATGCTTTGTGGTGGCTGAATCATCCTGCTGAGCTGTGCTCCTAATCTTTCAGAAACCGGGTGCCCACCTAGTTAGCCAGGGCAATGAAAAAAGCAAGAGCACCATTCTCAATCCCCCTTTCCTAAATCACATGGAGGTCACACTGTCTTTCTCACCCCGATTCTCTTGTGTCCTTTTAATGAACATCTAAGAAAGAAGACCTACTTAGATCGGAGCCAGTTTGTCCCTGGAAATTCAAGGAGATTTGTAAGAACCACATAAATACATGCACTCATATATAATGATTTCATAAACTTTCCACAGTAGAACAAGTTCTTTCTAGCCAGCTCCATTTCTGATGATAATAAATTTCAAGTTGGCCCTAATTTGAAATTTCGGTCGTTTAAAAAGACTACCCAGTACCTTTGGGCTGGCTATGGAAAAAGCATTTGCTGTGCTGAGAATAATGTAAACCAAAATGTACATGTGCTTAAAATGCTTAGCTAAGAGAACACACTGTTCCCAAGAAAGTTGGAAGCACCAGTTTAAAAATACAATGCGATTGTAACCTGAGATGAGGCTTGCAAACCTGTCTGCAAATTTGCTGTGTGCTCTGTATAACCCCTTACTTTATGAGGCCATCCTGAGTCCTGCCTACGGACTGTTGGTGTCCAAGCCACTAAATATTTCTTTAAAGAAACAGCTCGTAAATCTCTTTTAACTTATATAGTCTTCCAGTCTTCTCTTCAATTGGTCTGCATTGGTGAGGACCTACCCAACTGTTTTCTCTTGGCTACTCGACGCCATAATCTCTCTGCGGGGAAATGCATTCGGCAGTATTCAAAATTCAAGTATTTAAAAAATGAGCACCATTCTCAAAACAAAGTAGATTTCCCATCTTTACAAACAGTATCATTCTATGGGAAAATATTCATAGTGTCCTACGTGAGAAAAGCAGTCAACCAAAGATATCCCCATATTACACTTTGACAAATAACCTGTATCAAATGATGCATTAATAATGGGACAAGAGCTGACTTTTTGTCTTTCATCAACACTTCCTGTAACTTTTAGTAAATTTTGAACACTGAGCATCTATAAGTAAGAAACATGATAATACTCTGAAAACCTATCACGGGCCATGGTGGTTCTACAGCACCTTTGTTCTCAGGTAATAAATCGCATTATGTTCTAAGCGTGTAGAAAAGGCAATTGATGGCAGTGACTTCTGCTCCAGTGGAATGGCCGCAGTGCTTAGCACCAAGCCATCGACTGAATTTATTAAGTACTATACACCAGTGCACAGGCTTGCTTGGATTTTGTGCAAACCAAACTTCCAGGTGAAACACTGGATCTCTCTTTTCTCATCCAGCTGATTTCAGCCCCCAGAAGACTATTGATGTAAGGCCCCAAAGCTCCTCTATATCCTTAGGCTAAGGGGGATGGGGTTCTGGTCAACATATATGTGGTCGTGTTAGAGTCAGGATGTGTGGTTGGGGGGCAGGGGTGTCAGCCTCACATAAATCACATACAAGACAAATTCTTGCTTAGAGGAGGTCTGTTATGGGAAGAAGTGAGGAGGGTTGTACAGGCAAACATAGATAATCTGCTAGAGAGTAAAAAATGAAATGATGAAATGATTATGATCCAGAATAACTACAAAAATTCTGTTGAAAATCCTATCAAGACACCCGTGGATTGGTTTTCCCTAGTAAAGTAGTGCAGTATCCTTGGTGGAGATTTGAGGGTCCTTCTGTCTAAGGGCATCCTTTGGGTCTACCCCACATACAGGGGTTGCACGAGAGAGCTCCAGTGAGCTGGTGGTTGGCCTGATAACCCTGGAGCTGCTGCAGGGGCAGGAAGGATTGCAGGTGGAAAACAAATAAAACCGTAGAACTGTGATTTTAATAGCTCTTCATTTTTTCACATAATGTTAACACTGGCTAGCACAGCACAGTAAAGAAGAGATTTTCACACTTTGCTCTTCAAATGTCATTTAAATCTCATTAGGTAGATCCTTGTGAAATGATGGCACTGGCAATAATGATTCCCTTTTAATTCTCTAATCATTTCAGCCACTTCCAGTTGCCCTAGGGAAAACATGAGCATTTGGCTGATAGGAGTTAGTAGGAATTGTAAAGACTTGATAATAATTTTAAAACTTTTTTATCCTCTCCCCAACTCAATTTGCTGGGCAAAGTCAAATTTGATTGTGGTTAATTATGTCGATTATTTTGGGGGAGTTTCTTTGTTACCAACTGGTAAACAAAAGTTTGTTTTACCCTTAAATTGAGGCACCAAGATGCTGTAGCTAGGGCTGGGGGTTAGGGGGTTGTAGGAGGAGGGTGTGTGTTTGAGGGGTGTTTGGCAAATAGGATGGCAAGTCCGGTGTGAGAAGTGATGGCCCACAGAGCCATCTGCCAAGGCTGAGATGTGGCTTCTTCTCACTTGTTGTCTTTACTAACTACTATTTTTGTTGTCATTTGACTCCCTGAGACCTAAAAGCTGAATGAATGCCTACCTCTTAAAAATCAGCTTATTCCAGTGAACAATTTAGCTTAACATATTGATCATAGTAAAAATAATGATAAGATAGAAAATTCATAGCATTCACATAGTTCAAAGAGAAGCTACAGAATTCTGGGTTTCTCTCTAACACTTGCCGACTCGTGTTAGGTTTACAGCATGTCTAGAAATTAAATATCTTCTCATTTCTACCCACTGTATTATAGAGAGTGGACATAAAGTTCGTGTGCCATTTAAAATAGTTTAACACAGTAAATTGCACACGAACTTTGTGTCCACCCTGTATACTGAAGATAAAGCTGAAACTTGAAAATGTATAAGGCAACATTCTATCTATGATACAGGCGCAACTCATCACATTTTCTCATGTGTTCCTAATAGAATATGGGTTTCCTAATTCCTCTGAAATATGTGTGTGGTTATCAGAGTGGAAGCTCTCATGTACGGACTCCCAATCGAGCACTAAATGGAAATTGTAAGCAGTGCGATCAATGGTTGCCTTTCTTACGTTCTAGGGGAAAGCCCATGTTAGCCAGTACAGCTTGTCTCAGCAGAAGCTCCCATCTGAATGGTGCTTGGGGGAATCTAAGAGACTCCCCTCCTGACACAAGTGCTTTCCAAAAAGTATGTTTCCAGCCAGCAGCCAAGGTTGGGGGGTGTAGAAGGAGGGCATGTGTTTGGGGTATCTGAGCAAACAGACTGGCAAGGTGGGTATTTCTGAACCATGTGTACACGGCGGGAATGGGCCCTGTGCTGACTGAATTCACATGGAAAACACTCACATCTGAGACAAAACTTGAGCTTATAAATTGTCATTCCCTGGAGTGTCAGCAGATGAGAAGATGCCAGTGGCAGCCAGCGATCTGGGACAGGAGCCCCCGAGGGCTCTGTTTCCCCACATTTAATGACAAATTTCCGTCTAGATCTAACCAGATCAGTGGGAATGGCTGCAGGTTTTTGCTCTTCCTGTTGGGGCCTGAGTAAGATCTGCCCTTTGGTCTGTTTTCTTAATTTGTACCAGATAGCTGCCACATCTTGCTGCACAGACACTGAGCTTTCATTGCTGAGGTTTAATCTCAGGCCTAATGAGATATGAGTGGAAATCACTTCTGTGCAGTGGTCCCCAGAATGCTCTGTACACTCCAGTGTTGACCGGAGGGGAAAACAAACGTCAGAGCAAATGGAAACGGCCTGATGAGGACACGTCCTTAACAGAAGAGAAGCGGCCTTGGTGAAGACTTGTTAGACTGGGCTATTTAATTTTGTTTGGAGAAACTGCACTTTTGACAGATGAACTTCTTTTCCTTTGGATTCCTATTTATCTAACAGAGTTGTGGTTGGGAAAAGATCCAGGATTCACAAGGTCAAAAAGTGACCTGGTTCACATACTGTAGACTCCTCCCATCTCACTCCCCAGGCAGGTGGTCCAGTGGGCTGTCAGTACATCCACTCCAAAAATGGCCTCCCAAGGGACAAATCAACCTCTGGGGCTTGGCCCTCAGAGGTTTCTGGCAGCCTCATCCAACTCAGGTCTCAATTCCGGATCGTCAGTTCTCTTTCCATGCTGCACTCCAAAGCTTGAAATCATTCCAGTGTGCCTGATGAATGAACAGCTTGTTAGAATGCATTGGGAATTAAGGCCATTAGTGAAGTTTAAAAAAAAAAAAAGATTATCACTGAATTTTTGTAATACCTTTTTTCATGAGAAAATACACTTTCATAGACCATCCAGTTTTTCAGTATCCCAAGAGTGAAAAAATAAAGGAATGCTGCATAAACATGCTTAGCCTTATCTCTGAAATTTAAAAAATACTCCATTAAGAAAACAGATTATAGGCTCTGCACCTGTGGCTCAAGCGGCCAAGGCGCCAGCCACATACACCTAAGGTGGCGAGTTCGAATCCAGCCCGGCTCGCCAAACAACAATGATGGCTGCAACTAAAAAATAGCCAGGCGTTGTGGCGGGCGCCTGTGGTCCCAGCTACTTGGGAGGCTGAGGCAGGAGACTCGCTTGAGCCCAGGAGTTGGAGGTTGCTGTGAGCAGTGAAGCCAGGGCACTCTACCCAGGGTGACAGCTTGAGGCTCTGTCTCAAAAAAAAAAAAAAGAAAAGAAAACAGATTATAAAGAAGTATTTCCTCCTTCCTCCTTGTCCCCTGGTTCCCTGGTGTGTTAACAGTCAGACAGTTTTCCCTGTCATCGTCCTCTGTGGTTTTGTTGGTATCTCCGTACTTAGGGCTCAACGTTGAAGAAATCTTAGGTAGACAAGAAACTCGTTCGGCCTCTGTGTCGCCCACTCTCCTGCTCCCAGCCTGGTCGGCCACTTACACAGACTGACCTGGGAACCATTTCGCTTTGTCCTAACGGGCGCAAAGCTCTCCAGCGTCTCCATGACTGAGAAGGCGGAGTGCCAGGGTGCGGCTGTGGGACTCACCTCTCCGTCGTCTCTTGTCCCTTTCAGAGATCGAAGCCAAGGAGGCGTGTGAGTGGCTCCGCGCGGCCGGCTTCCCGCAGTACGCCCAGCTGTACGAAGGTAGGGCCTGCCCCGCGCTCTCCGAACAGAGGGCATCCCTGACCTACCGCAGGTGGCCGGAGGGGTCTTTTGGCTTCCGGGATTCTATTTTCTAGACCATTTTACTTTGCTTTCTTTTTCTCTCAGCCTCTGCAATGCTCAGCGTTTATCCTGAGACCAATTTACAAATAAATATCGCTTCCCAGGCCCATGCTACTCCCCTCCTCTCTTCACTACAAGCCCAAGCTCTGCCTTCTCCTTCCACTCTTCTGCCAACGGCAGCCTTGCTGTGCTTTCTTTCTTGTTTTTCCTCATTTTTTCTTCACTACTCTCAGTTTTCTTGAAATTACAATGAATTTATTGTTGAAATTTTTTTCCTGGAAATTACAAAACTAATTGTTTTCAGATTTCTCCATAGTTCTGTTTTTATTAGTAGGTAAAAAATGTATATGATATGAATCGGATGTTAATTCTTCTGAGTTTTACATACAGTGCTTTTATTGCTAGAATCATACTTCCTTCCATAGATTTTTTTATTGACAACTAATAAACTTACTCACTTGTAAGTTTCACTGACATCTAAAATTATAACCAAAGCTTTTAACTCCTCCTCAGATCATCCTTATCTGTGGGGAATTAATCAGGAACCCTATACAAGCAGATAACATCCACAAGATGATGTGTGGAAGATTTATGTGAAACTGTGTTCATTACAAAAAGGTGTGGGCAGGACAGAGGAACCAGGAGGCACAGCCCAGGGCTTACAGCAGCATGGCTGTCACAACCCGGGGGCCAAAGGGGCAGGCCCAGGGACAAGGTGGCAGAGCCCGAAAGCGGATGGAGCCATGGCGCTCCCCAGGAGGGAGGACACAGCTGCTGAGGGCATCCTCCCAGGGAGTGATCCTGAGATGAGAGACGGATACCCCCGGCCACCGTGCCTCCCTCTTCCTCCTGCCATGGCTTTCCACTGGCCAAACAGAAAAGGAAACCAGAGGGGACAGGCCTCTTGGATGCCATCTCTTCCCAAAGGTGATTCTCAGGCACAGGGCAGGGTGCAGCAAGAAGCGTGGATCTTCACAGGTAGCCAGGGTGGGCAGCACCCTGCCCAGGGCTGCTTTGCTTCCCCTTGACATGAGACTTACGTAGGATGGAAGTCAGCAAAATTATCCTTTACTTTCATAGGTGACTTCCATCCATTCCTTCAAGGGTCCTTTTTAAACAGGGGGCCAGTTCACTGTCCCTCAGACAGTTGGTGGGCCAGACTGCAGGCCCCGGGACAAGTCAGCTGCTAAGCAGGACAGGCAGCAGTGGCAAAAAACACCCAGTGGGCCGGATAAATGTCCTAGGCGGGCCACATGTGGCCCGCAGGCCGCAGTTTGAGGACACCTGCTCTAGATGCTCAGTTTTATATTTGAAAAGAAAAAGCCCGTATTCTAATTCCCCCACCTAAATTCTGGGAGAATAAAGGAGAGCCTATCTCTGAATGTGCTTTGAAGTCTAGAATCTCTGAAAAAAGCTTTCATAGGCTTTTAGACAAAGACAGGGCTTATAGTTTGGGTCTCAGCAACCCTCCGTCACTCCTGCCCTTCACCATTGATTACTAATGGGGAAAGCAAATTCCTGGAAAGATGAAGTAACATTTCCAAGGTTGTAAGGTGGAGGAGTCAGAACTAAAATCCTAGTCTCTTGACCCCTAATGGTATATTTTCCACTGCTATATGCACTGTGTTTGTAAACTCAAAATACTATGAGATTTAAACATGAAGAGTCTATAAATGGCTAGGAAGTGCAGTTAGCCATATATCTTGAAAATATAATAGGAGCAGATAACCACGATAGAGCTTACTGTGTGCTGCGTACTGTTCCCAGCACTTTTGGTACTGTTCATTTAACAGTAACAAGAACACCAGAAGATAGGTGTAACAATTCTCATCATCCCTGTTTTACAGATAAAGAAATAGACACCCAAAAGAGAGTAAGTGATTTGTGCACCAGTTACACAGAGAGGAAGTGATAGAGCCAGGACTCAAAGCCAGGGCAGGTGGGCTTCAGTGCCCATGCTTCCTCCGTTACACACACCCCCTCACCAGCAGGACACACAGCCTTCATCATGGCCACACACCCCCTCACCAGCAGGACACACAGCCTTCATCATGGCCACACACCCCCTCACCAGCAGGACA